GTCCGCCGCCGCCGCCGCCGCCGCGCGAGCCCAGCGCCCGCCCCGCACCCCGAGCCCGCGCGTCCCGTACCTTTAGGAGACCGCAGTCCGTCTAAGAAGCCCGCAGAGACACGTCCATTGAAAGAGCCTCCACATGGAAAAAGCTCTGGCCCAGGGACCTGGCGCGGGGACCGGGCGTCCGCTCCCTTCCCGTGGCCTCCGGCTTCTCCTCCCGGCGCCGGCCGCCGAGTCCCTCTCCTCGCGCAGGGCGCGGCGTCCCGGGCTCGGCCCGGCAGAGGGCTGCAGCGCGGCGGGGCTCGGAGGCAGCGAGGCGGCTCCGCCGGGGCGCGGGCACCGGCGCGAAGCGGGGAGCAGCGCAAGTTAAGGCTGCAAGTTCAAGAAGTCTCCAGCCAAGTGCTGACACACAACAACAGCGAGCAGGGGGAGGAGTGCGGGCCGGGGAAGGGAAGGGAAGGCAGAGAGGAAAGGCTGCTGCTGTCGTCGTCCTCAGGCACCAGCGCCCGCGGGACGCGTGGCCGCGCGCGGGGCCGCCTGCGGGACTCCGGGGGGCGAGGGTCGGGCGCTCAGCGCTAGCTCCGCCGCGGCCCATGGCTCGGGGCAGCCATCCTGGGCGACGCCGGGTCCGGGGAAGGGCACAGCGGCGATCTCGATGCCCGGCGAGCTGCCCCCCCGCATCACTCTGCCTGCCGCCAGCGCACCCCCATCAGCGCTGGCCAGTGGAAACAGCCGCGGCTCCGGCGCCCCGTCGTCCTCGGGCGCATTCTCCGCGAGCCCAGCCGAGTCCCGGGCCGCCGAAGCGGGTGGCCGCGCTCTGCCCTCGCTGCTGTCCTAGCCCTCGGGCCAAGTGCCCTTTGTGGCCGGCTTGGGGTCCGATCACACCTCGGCTGGCACGTCTCGAGCCCCCGATCCCCGGCAGGAGGTGCTCGGCATCGCGGCGCTCGGGCTTGGCTCCGCACTCTCCGGCGCTCCGCGCGCCCGTCCGCGGCTCCGGCGCGGCCCGGGCAGCCGAGGCCACCGAGCTGTGGCGCGCAACGGCCGGGTGCTCCAACCCGCGAGGGGTCTGCGGTGCGCGGGTGCCTCGCAGCGCCCAGTAATTCGCGCGGCGCTCGCCTCGAGGGCGCTCGGGTCGCCGGCGGCGGCTGATGTCCGGCGGCGGCTGCCAATCCCCGGCGGGGTGTGGGAACCGGAGCGGCGGGCGCAAAGCGAGCCGGGCGCATCGCGTCGGGGCGAGGACTCCGGAGGCGAATGCGGAGGCGGCGGCACCGTGGTGGGGCGCTCGCAGTTTTTAAAGGGGACGCCACCATGCTGACTCCCTCCCGGCCCCGGCCGAACACCTCCCCCTCGGCGGCACTGCTCGCCGGGGATCCCCGAGCGGGCGGGAGCGGCGCTCAGGGGTGTGGACGGCGCGCCGGGGGCAGCCGCAGCGGGGTGGGGCCAAGGGCGGGGGCGCGCGGCCGCCGAGGGGGGCGCTGGCGCTTCCACCCCCCTGCCCTAGGGCCGGAGATGTCACCCTTGTACCCGACCCTCGCGTGTTCTCCGGGGCTGAGATGCGGGGCGACGGCAGGTTCTGGCCTCGGTGTCTCCACCGGGCCCGTTATTCAGGTTTCAGTTTGAAGTTTTTCAGAAAAGAGCTCAGGGAAGTTACAGAGCATCTTGGTGCAGACGTGGTGTGGTAGACGCTTCTGTATTTCCCCGGCGAGGGGAAGCTGGAAACTGGCCGATATTTAACACAGAGACATCTATGTAGCTGCAGATGGAAATCCATGTGTGCGCATTTACAGTTACATAAATTTGGGTATGCATTTGCACTCAAACGCGTGTGCGCGCATGTGTGTTCATGAAAACATACCTAATACACGCGTGTGCTTCCAACCAAGTCACACGTCCCTTTAAACCCGGGTCTGCGGGTGTGACTTGGCCGTCTCTTCCTATACACGACACGTGTGTGTGTGTGTGTGTGTGTGTGTGTGGCAGCGCGAGGGGAGGGTGGCTAGGATTTTATTTCGTTTTATGGAAGCCGTCACTTCTTCCCCTGGGAAGTGAATCTCGCTCAGCCCAGGGGCAGGTAAAACAACGCAGGGCGAGATCCAAGCGTATGAGGCAATTCTGGTTTGGGACCTCAGAACCTCCTATCCCCCAGCGGGTCCCCAGAGACAGAGCTCAGACTTGTGGCCAAGGCACTTGTCTCCCTCAGCTGGAATAGCTCCCCACCGCCCCAAGCTGCCGCACCGTAACTTTCCGGAGATTTCTTTCCATGCGTCCCAGGATTTCCGGAGCCTCCACGCACAGCACCACCGGGTTGCCCAAATGATTCCAAAAGCCACGGGTGGAAAATTTTTGGAAAAGGCCGAATTGCCAGATCAGGTTCTCCTGCACCAGAGCTTCAGGATCTGCAAAGCACAGAGAGGGGTCAGAGCAGGAGCTACTCAGCGTCTATGGTCCACGTGTATTTTTTTTTTCCCCGTTCAGGGAACTAAAATAATTCTAGGTTCCGCTCACATAAATCGGATTAGCAACCCACAGAGGGGAATTAGGCACTGGCTGTTTCTAAAGGTATAAAGGTCAAATAAGGTATTTTGGAGGAAGCTTGCCTGCTAGGAAAATGAAGTGGGGGAGCAAAATATTCAGGAACTGGGGTACTTTATGACCATCTGAAAAAAATGCTATGGAGGTTGACTGTCACTCTGAATCATGGAACACCAAATAAGTGAGCAGCAAACATATTCCACGGACAGACATTGAAGCCAAAACGTGTTTATTGTGCTTCTACAATGATTTCCTTCCCTATCAAATTTGCGAAGTTAGTAATTATTTCTGTCATCAGTGAGTTTCAAAAAACAAAGCAAAACAAAACCTACTTGAGAGTTAAGTTAGTAGGTAGTGCTCAAAGAGGAGGAGAAAGCTGATGGCTGTTGGATGTGCCCCAAGAAAAGGTGAAAAATAAACCTCTGGGAGTGATACCAAGGCTGCCTCACAGGTTCTGGCCTTCCCAACTTGGGAAATGGGGACCTTGGCACTGTAATAAATGATCTTCGATAGTGAAGACTCTTGAGTTAAGAAAACTGGCATTCCTGGACACTGTATTCCATTTCAGTGTTGTCCATCACAGGATCTCTTTTATGTAGATTGTGTGATTCCCCAAGCGCAGGCTTCTCTAAATTTTGGCCCTATTTCTCTTTGAAGAGCTAGGCGCTCCTATCTTGCTGTTTTTAAGAGATGGCTGCCCTCTTGTGGTGGAAATGGGTCCAGACGCTTGGGAGAAAGAAGTCGACAAATAAAGAAAATGGTCTTGAAAGATGGATTTGGGGTGCAAAATTCAGGGTGACTGTACCTTCTCATTTGCCAGGCAAAAGCAATTGTCAGAAGTTCTAACTTTAGATAGAGGTTACTTTCAGTTGTTGTTTACTTGATTGGCAGAGACAGAGAGATGCAGAACTGAGAGATCTTCCATCTGCTGGTTCACTCCCCAAATGCCTACAACAGCCAGGACTACGCCAGGCTGAAGCCAGGACTGAAGAAACCAACCCAGGTCTCCCACATGGATGGCAGGGGTCCAACTACCTGAGCTGTCCTGCTACCTCCCAGAGTGGGCATTAGCAGGACACTGGAATTGGAAGGGGAGCTGGAACTTGGACCAAGGCATGGACATGGAATGCTGGAATTCCAAGTGGTGACCTAACCACTACGCCAAACACCTGCCCCTAGTTCTTTTTATTCTCTTGGCTAATCTCTAATTTATACCTGCAACTCAGAATGCAGGATTATTTAAGTTTTTCGAGTGACAGTGTCTGTTTGCTTTGAAAACATCCCTTACTGCTAGTCATGGTTGGTTCTGTCTTTTCCAAAGATTCATTTGAAATGTTTCAATCTAGAGGGTGAGATTCATTCTTGCTGGTTTCTGGTAAATCTGCCAGCACTTGTGAGCTGGAGCAAGGGTAGGGATAGAGAGTTCTTTGGGAATAAGGCAGTGGTAGTTGCGAACTCAGGCATCTCAGAGGGGATAGGCAGGTTATGTGAAAATATAAAGCCTACCAAGTAAGGATTCTCTGTAAAGGAGGTTGCCACTATTTCATTTTAGACATTTCTTGCCAGTTTTTCAAGAGATATTGGAAGTCCACATTTGATTGTGTGTGGATATGACCTGGGATGAAATTAAGTGCTTAAAGAGTCATACTTTGGCAACTTTTCCTTTAGCAGTTCAGCCTAGATAATGTTTAATTTTATTGCATCCTGCAGCTATTAGCATTCACCATTGTTCTTGCTAGGCCACCCATTATGCAAATTAACATCAAAATAATGATCCTTAAGTATTGTAGAGGTCACTGCAGGCATGACATGACCCATCTACCTTATAATTGTCATGCCATTGAAACCTGTGGCAACTCCCCTGAGAAAGCTCTTGGCTCCTAGCAGGTGTATCACTGAGTTCCTGGTGTGACTCCCAGCACCAGTTCTACTGACTTCACCTGGCTGAGGTTCTCTCACAGGAATCAGGAGCCTCAGCAAAAGAGCAGCATTTAGTCAATCAAACTTTTACACATTTGGGGTTTAGTTAAACATGAGAAGTTAGAGGCAACACCAGGGCAGGTTGGCCAAGTCAGGTTCTCGCTTCTGTCAGATACTCACTACATCTTTTTTGATGTCCTAAGGA